TATCACGTGACGCGATAGTGTTCATCCGCGGAGAGACACTATCAGCCCATAGTGCCCGTCCGAGGAAAATACCCGGATGGATAGTACTCATCCGTGAAATGTTTCTGTAAACAGGTCTACACAACCTGGCTTAAAGAAAATAAACAATTTAAATTGTATTAAGTGGGTTTTTTTCTGTTTTCTTTTTCAAATTTTACATTTGGCTGTCATTGCTTATATCAAAAAAAGTTGAAAATAATTCACTATGATGCTTGAACTGGCGCGCGGAAGAAAATTTTGTGGTGAAGAATAAAGACAATGGAGTGTTTATGTCTCGGAACCATCGGTCTGATAGTTGCCCCTTGGAAATTTGATGTTCTTAAAACTAGCATATTTGCCCTCGAACCTTCGCTACTCGTTTTAAGAACATCAAAAAATTCCGCGGGGCAGCTATCAGCCGATAGTTCCTCGACAGAAGCACTCAATTGTTTGAATAGTTGATTCAGCTCTTGGCCTCAACAACTATCACTTCATAGAAATCTCAACTCCTAATCTAATTGTTTGCTAGAGTTCAACTTGTGTGACAGACGAAATTTCTCGGTGTCTCAGTAGAATCCCATTCTAAAAACATCCAAACTATTTTAAAGAAACCCATTTTATTAAGACCTCAATTAAAGTACGTTACTTACATATCTTACAAAATTCAGAAGATCATGCCAGCCCGAAAAATAACCAGGCAGGCATTTTTAAATACATATATATATATATTGCCGTTCTTCCCTCTTCATTTTTAAATTAAAGAAAAAAAATCATTTTGCTTGTAGCAAAATGGGGCCCAGAAACTCGAGGTATCAGTCTGTTGGAATGCGATCTACACATCAGAATTCAATTCAATTCAATTTTACTTTTTAAATAAAATAGATAAAAACTCTGAATTGAATAAATAAGAGGCAAATTCAATACTGCCAGCGAAACTAATGCCTTGTGCAAAAGCACCATAGAAAATATTTTTATTCCATTCAAACAAAGCCGCAAAAACTGGGTTAAAAATAAAACAAAAACCGATAAAAGAAATCATCTACACGAAGGCTACATTATAAATTAGCAACCTATTAATTTATCTTCAAATTGAGCCGATTTCAATACTTCTGCTATTCTACCATTTGCAGTCTATTCTAGTGTAACCCCATCAAGCTTCGCGTTGCTGAGAGATGATAGCCATGCCGGCTAGTCGGCAGTGGCTCGAGAAGCCCCATAGTTTTTGTTTCCCTGTAAACGCTTCTGGTTTCTCTCGAATGTGGCTTGAAACTTTTTTAAACCTACGAAAAACACGGTGGACCAAACACGTGATTGTAACTCTGCGCCCGCATTCTTAGTAGGGCCAGGCTTTTTGAAGACCATTCATGTCTCACCAGGCCGAGTGATGACTGGCCTTCTTTCTCGTACAATGCGCTCTTTGATGGAGAAAGCGATCGAGGGAAGGCTGGGTTCCATGAAGTGGTAGGCCCAGGCCCCGCGCTACAACATATACTCCCAGGAGGACACGACCGACAGGGCGAGCGGCCTGGACGCGATCCTGGAGGGCTGTGACTTTCAATAATAGTTTTGGAGGAGCCTGGTAAAGAGTTGACCGGGCAGGCCATAGGAGGCACTGGGAAGTACAGGTGAGATGCGGGAGAGTACAGTCCTTCGTGTGGATAGTAAATGCCCGTATGATGATACGGGAAGGCCGACCGTGGATGCTGTCGTTCTTGTTTTCGATGTTTTGCTCGTCGATTTTGAAACCAAACCTGGAAAAACGTGAAACGCTGCATTAGTTTTGACGAAAGAAACGAGTAATACTAACTTCAGTAGGCATATTTTCAGTTTAAAAACCCTACGAGTTAATGATTGTAGAATGCAACATTAGTGTATAGAACTCGGCTCTTAACGCGTCACACTCGCGCGGAAGTCGCGCGCGAGATCTGACTTACTAAACTGAGCTCTTTCCAACTTTAAGAAGGCTTGGTAGGGCTAGAAACCGAAAATAGAAAACTTGAATAATAAATTCTAATTTTAGTTTCTTTTAATTTGTGTCGCAACAGATCCGATGCAAAATCCAGTTTTTGCCAATTAAAATTTCTAGATAACAATATAAACATGTTACAACTATAGCGACTGTTAGCTCGAATTAAAAAGAAAATATGATTGGGAAGATCATGTAAAAGAAAAACAAATAAGGAGGCAAAATTAGCTTCAGAAAGCCAGTCAAAAGCTTGATCTTTACTTCACAAAGGAAACAAACGGCAGAGCTAACTGAACACGTGGATTTTCAAAGGAATCCAATTAAAAAAGTCAATGTGAAAGATGGAAGGAGGTTGTATAATAAATACATGAAAGGTATCAATGCTTTCGCTCAAAATCGCAAATGTCTGTGACTAAATTGCGACAATGGATAAGGAATTCAATCATTTTTAAACAGTAAATAAATGCACGACAAGATTGGTTTTAGAGTTTGAAGCATGAAAGGGATAAAGAGAAAAAAAAAGAAAAAAAGCAGGAACAATTGTCTGTATTGTGAAGAAAGAGGCCTCTGCGAAGAAAAGAGGGGCACTGATTAAAAGCGACTTATGCAAGTTTATTTTTGGTTGCAAATGTAAAATGGAATTCTGGTAATTATATGGAACCAGAGATAGCTAGAGGGACACGAAAATAACTGCAACCAACGAATCGATACTCTCCCAGTTCGCGGCGATAGCGGAGGGTTCCAAGCTGAAAATTTGGTAAATTTGCAATCGCTTGTAATTTTAAGCGTTTAATCTCAGCTTTTATTTATCCTGACATCCAAGGTGTCTACAAGATAGAATGTTCTTAAAATAGCTGATGAATTTTTTGATGTCAAGGCAGCAGGTTTGAAGTCGAAAAGAAAAACTTTGCCGACAGTGGTAAAGGGGCTTATTTGTTAACTCTTCTCAGCGAAAAAAGCAAGCAAGAGAAAAAAAAAAAATGTTAAGCTTCATTTGGGGGCGAGTACTTTTCCGTGTTGTCAAACGTTATATTATTTCTTTTATGCACCGCGTGCAACTATATCGCTTTGGAACAACCCATCATTATTTTATCTTTTGTATTGAGCCGTAAATTGTTTGTCAAAACATGATAACGCGATCTCCGCTTGAATAATACATCCTAAGAAGAAAACTAATCCCAGCTTATTAGCCGCCCACTTGACAAATGAAACAAATTCATTCTCCTGCCGAGCAGGTATTCAAAAGGGAATAAGTGGCTTATTTACCTGAAATATTAATAACACGTGCCATACGGTAAATTATATCCAAAGAACTTCTAATAAGGTCTCTGCTCGGTGTTAGTTCCAAATTAAACGTTTTAGGTATATTGCAGAATTAGCTTGAGAAGTAATCAGTTCAATACCGCGAGAAAATCCTCCAGGATTCAGAATAGTTTGAAAGTTAAGTTTACCGGCGAAGAAATCCAAGCTTTAAAAAAGTTACGAAAGTTTGGACATCGTCAAATTATTTACAATGATAGTGAATGCAATCCAAACGGTCAAGTTGGGGGAAAAGATTTAATTAGAGCTAACTCTTGAAATTCAATTTATCGAAGGAATATTTGGTTTCGAATTAGTCTCGTTGACATAACGGTTAGCGTTATTTTAATTTGAAAGATAAACACTGAATAACTAAATCTGCAAGTTATAAGAAGCTTAGTTTCTTTTAATAAAAATAACTTGGATTGAAGTGAGGCGTTAAGAATTTGCCAAATTTACACATGAAAAGCCCTCAAGCGCCGATCATGAAATTTATGCTTAAGCTTATACTGCTTACAGGATATTTAGCTAGCACACATAATATTCTTCAACATAATATAATCTAGTTTTTCGGATGGTAAGAGCTAAAAATAGATACTCGCAATTTGAAGGGAGACGATGATGATGAACGAGGATTTAAGCACCATTCATCAGTTTCACAATTTGTTCCCCTGGAGCTTATTCGAATTAAGATGTCCTTCGAGCTTAGTTTCTTGCTGAACTCCAAATGAAATTAATTATATTATTTTCAGTTTGGATTTTACCAACAACTGCTTCGCGCGGTTAGCTTTTCTGGTAGTTATTTTCTTTCATTTTCTTTCGGATTTAACCAAGATCTTGTTCAGCTTAGAAAATAATTTTAAAATGCAGGTTCGCGTTAGAAAATGAACAAAAGAATCTATTGATTTAAGTCTGGTAAAATTGAAAACCAAAACCTTATCTCGTGCCGATTTTCGTCTCATGAAGGTCGATTGAAAGTCTTAAATCGAATCTAGTGTTACGAGAAACAACAAAAAGTATATTTTTTGTTCTCTTTCCGATGGGAGAGCATAAAATTGCTGCCAACTTTTTAATGTTTATTTAAACCGCCTAGCAGGTTGAGTTTTGTCAAGCCCTTCACACCTTACAGGACAAGACGTGTTTTTCAAGTCCCTACTGTTTATTAATGACATCCCGTGGACAAGAAGCACTTATCGTTTTTTAATTCTGTTTATTGAAAGCACTCTTAGCTTTCGACCTCAAAACTAACCTCAAATTTATCTAGAAAGCAGTCATGAATACAGCCTTAAATTCGGCGCCGTAGAAAGATTTGTGCAATGAAAGACAGAAATTTTAGCGCGCTAATTTAATTTCCACATTCGTCCAGATCGCTGATGCCTTAATTTGCTAATGGCAAACTTAAGAAATTAAAAGTGTCATTTGCGTCCAAATGCGCTTTCACAAAACAAATGCCGCCCTCATTCATGTTGATACAAAAGGAACTTCTTGAATAATAAATGTGCTAAATTCTTCAACTCGAGTAAACAAATCCTTGACAATTTGCCCCTTTCTACGAAAACCAATTGTATTTTCGAGAGGTCCTCAAGCGATTGTCTTGGAGTGGAGAAAGCGCAGAGGATTTCCGTCTGAAAAATTGGTCGATTTTCCTCCCGATTCGTAATCTCTCAGGAGTTGAAAGGATGCTTAAAACGTTTAAGATCCATGTGGTAAGTTTACTTTTCGTAATAAGTTTCAACAGCTGCTAATTAAACTCTCTGTTCTCACCAATAACACACGTGCGTTACGAGCAGGTGGAATTTCGATTGCGCGTGCGCGAAACTTGGCCGAGTCACAAGCTATTTTTGAGTCACCAGATTAACTCTTCATGCAATTTCCAGGGGAATTTTGCTCCATGATGAAACGCAAACCTCGAATAGAGGACTGCAAAATTGACGTTCTTGGAGTAGGAATATTTCCATTGCTGGTCTGTGGAGCGAGCGGGCCGAAATGTTTTTGTGTCCTTTTAATTGAAACTAATAACAAAAACAAAGATTGCTATTGATTCTATTAGCTCAAGCCGCGAGCAAGCAGCGAGCAAGCGGGCTAGTGAGTAAAGGAGCGAGCGAGGGAGTGTGCGCTTCAGATAACAGTCTTACCTGGACGCGAGCTTCGTTCAAATTGATTCCTTTAGCAAGCTGCTCCCGCGTGTATACATCAGGATACTGGGAACGGTTGAATGCCTCCTCTAATGCGTCGAGTTGCGCTTGTGTAAACGTTGTCCTGTGTCTCCTCTTGCTGATAGTCAATTCGTCTGCTGTAGCCGCGGTCTCCTCTCGTTTTCTCTTCATGGGGCAACCTTTAAGGAGGACAAAAAATCAGCGAGCGAGCTCGTTAACTGTCCTAGACACTCCCTTAAATCATAAAGACGACTCAAACAATTCCGAGAGGGCAGGCGCTGTTATGAAAACGTCCCGCTCAATTTCTAACAGTTTGATATTCTAAATAAATGTGAGTTTTATTTGTTTTAAAAGACCTTTCTTGGCGCGCGACAGTTTGCGTTAGCTACAGCGCAGGGACAGTTCCAGAACAAAATTAAGTTAGCTTTATGCCACAAGCAAGGAAGTACAAAGAGTAGAGATTATATTTCCTCCTTGATTAATTTGCAACAAGTAGTTACTTTGCGGAGCGCTGTCTGCGTTACTTGAGACTTTTCAACACTACATTAGAGCTGGCACGATCCAAATAGTAAGTTTACCTTTTAATACGGGGTCTTTGATGTCGACCTCGTCCAAGTCCTGCGTCGAATTTCTCGAGTTAGTCTTGTGATCGTTTAAGCCGTCCGCCGCGTTTTCCAGTTGGAATCCCACGGAAGTATCAAATTGCGCAAAATGTTCTGACATGACGTTAAAGTCATTCGTGTTCGACAAACCTTTCTGGGCCAATGCTAGTTCCAAGTGTAAGGGAAACTGTCGAAAGATAATTGCTTTGTAAAAACTATTTGCATTGAGATGAGTTTCTCCGCCAATCAGGACGTTGCTTTTAATTGTGTCGTTTTCTGGCTTGTCCCCGCAAGCTTGTGATTGGTCGAGCGCCAACGCCTTGGTTGTAATTTAATTAGATTCAATTGATAGTTACGAGCCCATTTTGCCCTTAGGCCCCGCTGTTTTGTTTGAATAACGTTTTGACAAAAGCTATTAAGCTGCTACCGTCTGAAAGAAATAAAACCAAACTCACGCCATGGGAGATTCACCAAGGCCCGCAATTCCACTAATCAAATTACGGCCAAACAAAGAAACGTTCGTACCACGGGTACGCCAGTGTTTTTGCAAGCACTCAAGCTTGTTTCTGCCCTGAGCGACAGAGCAGAAAGGAAATTCAAACACACAACAGTCAATGTTTGTTCCGACACGATTTATGAGTTGATGCGATTTAAGCAGAGCAAATTGCCATTCGTCCAAGTTTACATCATCAGTGCTTGCCGACAATAAAGATAAGTTAGCAGAGTTCTAATCTAGGAGATGAGCTTGCAAATTATCTCAAGCCTGAAGAAAGACCATTTCATTGAGCGAAATTGACAATTTGCATGTCATTATTTTGCCTAAAAATTCAATTAACTTTTCCTCTCTTTTTTTGGCTCTTCAATAACGCAGCTAAATTCTTCAACTTAGTATATAATGAGCACTAAAACGGACCTAAAAAATTCCGTCATTTATTTTCGCATATAGGTTCTGGTCCGAGGGCCAACAGCCTGGGGAATTCTGGCAAGAAAACAAGGACAGACAGGATTCACTTTGTAAATGAAATTCACACAAGAAAAACCACTTTTAAATATTAATTAAAATTCACCCACCCGCACAAGTACTATTTGCTTGGCAGAATAAAGTCAAGTGCTTTTGTCAACACGTCCTTGAGACAAATATGAAACAGTGATTTTCCTAAATGCCTTTCAAGTCGCAGAGAGTCTTGCCGAAACAAATCGAGAAGAACCGTGAATTACACACAAAATGCTTAGTCTATAGTCCATGACTTAAGCATGACGCCGACTTACTCGTTATTTGCTTTTATTTAATATTGTCAATTGTCGAAAAACCTTTAAGCTAATTACAGTAAAAGAAACAATGTTAGTATCTGAGATATTTCCCGCCTAAAAAACGACTGCAAAAACATAAATAACTTTTTTATAACGCTACTTTCAAGTGAGATGAAAAGTGAAGAATGCTGTCTTTGTTTTTGGTAACCTGCGTAACTCGGACAAGCCGGGAAAAAATGCCAATTAGAGAATTGCTATTGAGATAATTTATTGAATAAAACAACACTTTTTTCGTCGCTGTTTGTAAGTCACCTCGATCGCTTTTCGTTTTTCTAAGCACGTTAACGCTACGCTTCAATTAACTCTAAAGAGAAATTATCAAACGAAACTAATTGCCTTTAAATAAGCAGCCAAGAGATATCTAGCTCTTCTTGGTCTAATTACAACTCTTAATGTTTAATGATTTGAAGCAAATTAATTTACGTGCGGCCAGCCAAATTGAACTGACAGCAAAATGAAAACAATTTATCCGCTTTAGAGACTATTCAAAACGGCTAAACGCTTTTACAGGACTAAAATTAAAACGAAAAAATTAAAGGGAAATTTTTGCTCCTATAAACGCGTGTATTTCAAAAGCTCATTTTAACAATCGCCCTCGAAATCGTTTCAAGAGCGAGTCGGCAAATTGCCCACAAATATAATCCCGATATTTATGTTTAAAACTCAAAATGAGGACTTAATCGATTGCAGTTAGCTCCATTTTTGTAAAATAAAGTAAGTTCTTTTTAACTATCACCGTATTTTAACAGGCCTTAATAAAGTCGCCAGACGAAATAAGAAAAAAAAAATTGAACGAATTAATTTCGACGCATTCAAACACAATTAATTAACTGGTTCTGATGTCCCCAGTGTTAAGCCGAATTCTAAATCTCTTTAAATCGAAATAAATTTGAACTAAAAATCTGCAAATAACCTACAAATGAAATTTATTTCTTGACAAAACTCTAAATAAACTCAATTAATTTTTACTTTTAAAAGGAACTTTCCTGAGCAATTTATTTATCTCTAACACGAGATAATATTGACTCAAGCAATAAAGTTGCTCATTAAAAGCGTGCATTGTTCAATACTTTATTATGTGAATTTCTTTATGGCTTCTTACGTAAGGCATAAAGAATTATTGTTGCTGCACGTATCTTGCTGCTGTCGTGTGAGGAGAGTTCCTGAATGAAAAAAAAGCGTCTTTCCTTGTCAAAACTGACAATTCTTTCGTTAAGTTGCAGCTAATTTAAAAGTAATTTGCTCTTAGACCGGAAAAGCTAATAAGGAAAACATATTTAATTGTTTTCACAAGATGTTTCATCGTGACGGATTACGGCAGCCCTTTTTTGCGAGCCTGTTAATTAGAAAATTACAAGGTACTATGGCAAGAAAATAGACTTCAAATGAATTTTTCTCTACCAGCAGGGAACAATATAAACAGACCCGAGTTTGATACGTTTCCCCACTTGCAGATTAAAGCAAAATACGTGCAAATGATGTATTCACTTGGTTTTCTTTATTAGGAGGAACTTTATAATCAAGTTACTTTTTCCATGAGAAAATCCAGCGACTCTCACAACTTAATTCTGAATTAAATCCCACTACAAAATATTCGTCTTCGGGAGTTACTACCAAGCAGGTCATTCCAACTTAATTTCTCATTCAAGGACAAATATAATTCGTTCTCTTTCCGGTACAATAGTCACCAAACCAATGGCTACACGTGAAAGACAATGGAGCAGTGAAGTACCTGTTTCATAATCAACTTTCTTCAGAGAAAACACTCAAAGGTTCAGTCAAGGTTCGAAAATCGTATCTAGTCATAGGGAGTTTTCACGGCTTTTTACGGTTTTCAATAACAGTGTGAGTGAACGAACGTTTAAAATTAAATGACGCAATTTACCGACGGCAAGTGCAAACTGCGTGCGGTCGAATTGAAATCGTAATGCGTGGGATAAACCTTTTTTCCGGCATTTATGGCCATGCTGAAAAATATCTTAAACTTCAACTGACTGAGACTGAGAACGCAGATTTCAGAAATGAATTCCAAGTGGAAACAAGATCTATTTTGTCAAAACTTTAAAAGATTAAAGTTCGTTGTTCATATTGTAAGTTTGCGGTAGGCATCCTTGCTCTCATGTCATTGGGCGAGCACTGTTCTGCGAAAAGCAAACCGTTTTTGCCTTTGGGTAACCGAAAAGTGAATGACAATACTTCTAAGGGGACACTAAATATGGCTGCGAGAAAACGAAAAATGCATATATAAAAAAAGGAGAACACTATAATTTTAGGCTCATGCGTGCCAGATCTGCATGAAAAACGCTTGTAATTAGTTCAATCTATGCTACTGAACCATTTACTTCACTTAATTATACATGGGCCTTAATGAAGTACTCAGTTTCCCTCAAGGTTTCCCTCTTTCACGAGAATTTCCTCCCACAGCCCTGATAATGAGAGAGTCAGTAGAGTCAACGCTAGACTTAGTAGCTGATTACGTTGCCTATTTATATCTTTAATATCGAAACAGTGCTTCAGAAATTCCCGTGTGATACAGCTAGCAATGTACATGTTAATTAAGTCATAAATACCAAGTGTAGTGTGAGGATCGACTTCAATTAACGGGCATTTCATTTAATTTCTTTTTACATTAAGGAACTAAAGATGCTAACCTTCAAGGCCGACCTGCCGTGGAAACCATTTTGTAAATTTTAACGCTTCTCGGTGAAGGAAATAAAGCATCCTCAGAGTTGTAAAAGAAAAACTTAAAAAAGAAAAAAAAACTTGGAAACAATGGCAAGATCGATCATTTCAGAGCAATTTGCTTTATGACATGAAATTCATTTTATGACTTTACAGGAGAGTATATCTTTACGTTTACAGCACAGAAAACAGATCTGCCTAATGGTTTTCCTAAACCACACTAAAGTTATCACGTTATAACTAAGACGTGTTGAAGTTATTCAAAGAGTTAATACCAAATATGTTAAAAGATCCGTTAATTCTTTCAAAACGACTTTCGTGTCTGGAGTTCACTCAACGACCAGGGAAGAAATACAGATAGGAAACTAGACATCAGCTTCAATTGACTAACGATTTGGATATTGGCTGAAATCGAGCCTGAATCCATTCGTAAGTGATCTAATGAAAAAGTGCAGAAAAAAGTTCAATGTTTAACTCGAGTCGATGTCATATTTTCTATGTCTTTCAGTGGGAAACCTAGGTCAATTTTAAACATGATTTATGTTGATAAATTTTTAGCCAACAACAATGCTAATGTCTAAGCCTTTGTGTTGAAAACCTATACGGTAATACCTAACAGTAATGAACTTCTGCAGCGTCATACGGAAGAGATCTTTAAATACCAAATCAGCGAAAATCGCTCATTACTCGCGATGTTAGTTGAAGCTCTTTAGTTCTCAGCCTTGGAACAAGTGATTTTGGAACAGCACTATTCGATATTCTTTGTAGCGGTTAACATCATTCTGTATGTATACGACATTGCCTGCCATTCGAAATTTCTCGTTGGCAAGAGCTTCGCAATGAGAAAATTTTCACAATTCCAAGGCTTCTCGAGCTCAGCAGCTCCTAGATTTATAAAGAACACAAGAGAACTATTTTCAACTTGTGTCTCGTAACCGGGCTTGAAATTTCCTGGCAGACCGGCGAAGCTGTCGAGTATTCGACAGGATCTACATCTTTACAGGCTGGTTTCATAATTGTTATTCTAATGTTTTGTCTTCAGTAAAAACTGGAAATGAGCACAATTAAGACTACGATACTAAGACTTACACAACAGAAGCAGTTAACTATTTATTCGTTTTATTTGTAAACAACTAAACCACCAACTATTTAAATGACAAATTTTTAACCTCGGACAACGGAGTCCTTCTAAAAGCGAGAACGTGTGAAAAACGTGGAGACCGTTTCACACGGAAATCAAGAACATTGCGGTACCAAGAGAGGGGTTTTCGTACCTTATTTGCAAGATAGCAGAGCTTGTACGTTGCGAGTGTGTTTTCTTTTCACTGTGTTTTCGTTGTAATATGATGAACGCGTCCAAATAATGTTAATTTTTACCCTAAATCTTTGTGTCTGGTTATCCTTTTAAATAGTTGACATGCTATTGTTTGATGGCATTTATTGAGTTCCAAACAAGTAAACTAGAGATTAGCAAAGGTCAACAAAACTCGTTTTGACACAGAGGCAAAACGCAACTCGGATATGACCTATTTTCGTCTTCTTTTTTCTTTGAATTAAGTGTCGAGTAACCTTCATGTAAAAAAAAAAAGTAAGTGTGAAAATTGGTTCCACTCATTGAGAACTAAGGTCTTCCTTGTGCCAGAGTCTTTTTTCGACGAGCCGTCAGTTTGAAAATCGTCGGGGAGAAACTTTGGGGACGAGGCTGCCAGATTCGCCTGGATGACCGCTGAACGAGGTGCCGAAGAATGCTGGGCTCGGGTGGAGCTCCACTTCCACCACGGGGTCCACCACGTGTACTTTGACAGAAATACGAGTCCGCCGGCTGCCCCCTCAACAGGTCTAAATGATCAGTGCAGAAAAATTAATGTACGACGAAACAGAGCGTTCGCGTTGTGGCAGATGTTTAAAAGGAACCGACGGCGTAAAAAACGACGTGAACTCTTTCAGATGTTAAATTACATCCTACAACTCATACACATTCTGACAGAAAGAAAAAGAGAGGTATGCCAAAATGAACCAGCTACGTATGGTACTGAGGGTTCAGTAACAAAGTCAAAGAGTAAGATTTGATATTCGTCTGAGACGAAGACGTCTGGGTAAGAATTGGTTGTCGCGGTTTCGGTTCTTCATTTACTGGTTTAGGACTGGGTGCTGTCTGATCTGCTTCGGATTCAGAAGATATCTGCACGATGGACGTCGAAGAAAGATGTCTACGTTGGCAAATGCTTCGGATCATGAAAGTAGGGCAGATGTTGTTATGATCACATATATCCATGGAACTGTCCTATTTGTTCATGTCTTCTCGATGTATCCCCACTCCTGTTACTTCTTGATCTTCTCCCTCCATTCACGACTGAATAGACTGATTTGCCTCTTTGCTAAAATTATCTCACTGAGTGAAATAATAGAAATTTAAGTTTTCCCGGCATTTTAACCGGTGACACTTAAGGATCGCAATTCTTTTGCGCGCCGCTTCTTAACGATAACGATGCGACCTTCTGGGTCGAACTGTGTTCATTTGAAATTGTTGCAAGCCTGAATTCAACCCATTTTCCAAGCGATTCGATGTCTTTAGCAGTTTTCGCACATTGTGCGTTGTCATCGTTGCGATCCATCATTCTTATGCGATCAACTGGAAAAAAAAGAGTTGTATGATTATTAACAACATCGAAAAGATTGCAATCACATGACTCTTAGAGTCGAGAAACGCCCGTCCGAAACGAGTGGCTGTACGATCTAATTAAAAAGAACTATCAACCTATCTTGTAAAATTTGCACTTTTCCAAATTCTTTGCATAGCCGGAACTAATAATGCGAAAGCACTAGCGTTACAAATTTTGCTGTTAGCAACATGTAAGGAACTTGCCGAATTAAATCCAAGGCGAATTATTTCTAACTGTCACCATTACCACCATGGACAAATTGTGTTGGAAAATACGCAAAAACATGAAATCATAACCAGAAAGAGTACAGAAAAAGTGTCAGCACCCCCATTTCCCTTTTCAATGTTTGAAGATGATAAAATGAAAACTTGTGTTAAATGCAAGTGTGGTGTGAATATTGCACAGGGGTAGGGAGGGGCAAAATATGTATAAAATGAATTTTACCAACCCTTGTGACCAAGCTTGTAGCTAAAACACAATAAGGTAAGATATATCTGGCTCTATGTAAGAATCAACGGACGTAGCAGAAAGCTTACGACAAACGGAATGTACATTTCTGGTGTCAAGTTTAAAGAACTTCGCTCTAATATTTATAGAGATATTTTACTGTTTTAGTTTAACTATTTATGACGTCACGACATTCCTAGTGACATAATACAAAAACATAAATATTTCTAAAACGAAGTAGGATATTTCAAAAAGGAAAACGCCACTCTTCTTAATTTTTAAAGGCCTTTAAAAGCAATTATTCTGTACTTCATAGGCACTTTAAAGTATATCCTGTAACTGAGTTAATCCCGCCAAACCTCTTGCGGCCTATTCCAAAGTATATAAAGCGTTATCTCTTGAGCAACTCCTTTATTTTTAACGCTTTAAGAGTAATTGTCACTAAAAATCAAAGAAACGTGGCCACGGTCGAAAAGTCGATTTCGCTCATACTTTGCCAGTTTGAAGGCCTAGGCAAGTTACTGAAGGAAATCAAGTTAGTTTTTTTGAAATATCCAATATATAACGAGAGAAATTCCCGAAAAACGGTTATTGTACCGAAAGCTCAAATTCCACTTCGCGATAATCCGAAATTTTACAATTTCCAGCTTCTTGCTATACAGACGTTTACATCGCTGTGAAATCAAGATATGTTCATTTCTTGTGTTTTTCCGGGTGAACTGGGCCCTGATTAAGTAGACACACTTTTCTAATTAAAACAAAACTCAAAAATTATGCATATTCAGTGAGGAAAAATGCTGTTCGGTAGCGCTTCAAATCGTCTGATATTCTAGCCAAAGACAGCTTTTCTCAAAATTAAATGACGTGGTTTTACCCGGGGAAAATCCGAGTTGTGTCTCATAGATATCTTAGATTCTGCTAGTAGAATTCCAAAGTTTGAAGAAGTGAAATTAAAGGGGAAAAATATAAATGATATTGCACGGCCGCAATGGCCGCAGGATATTGCGACTAACACATGAAAAAAGGACGAAATGCAAATGAAAGAACGGGAGGTTCTGAAAACGCTCGAGCATCTCGGTATGCTGCCTACCTTTTCAAAAGTAATGTTGTTAGATTTGACGGAAGTGACATTGTCGGCATAAACAACCCACACCTGGAGACGTTTGCAATGTGGAATAATGCGCAGGGTGAATCAGACGAAGCCTAAGTAATCTCAAGTGAGGAGCTGTTGGAATTAGACAATGGAGTATTGATGGAAACACTGGACCAGCCGACTAATCAACACAGTAGTGCGTGCTTTGCTGGATCTTGCAGCAGCAGCCGCTCTAAAAAATGATGTCGAAGGAGGGGATGACGAGGATGTGCTCTTTACGGAAAGAAAACATGTAAGTATCAGAATGTTCCATTTACAGTCAAACCAAGTGAAGCGTACCCTTCAAGATTACATTAATGAATTGATTGTTTGAATATTGAAACCTCTAGTCGTTTCAAGAATGCAATAATGAATTGATTATTTGAATATTGAACTCGCTAGTCATTTCAAAAATCAATATTAAATTGATTTTTTTTAACATTAAACCCATTAGCCGAATTCTTGGAACTACTAGTGGGTTCAATTTTCCAATAATCAATTCATTATGGCATTCTTGAAATGACTAGCGGGTTCAATATTCAAATAATCAATTCATTAACGTAATCTTGAGGGGTACGCTTCACTTGGTTTGACTGTAAGGCTCCTAAAAAGACAAATTGGATTAGATGCTACTTCCCTTCATGCAACCTTGGGTACCACGAACAATGTCTTTCTTTCCATTTCAAATCTGAACAAAGCAGAGAAAATTACAACTTCACTTGCCCAAGCCATAAAGGGTTAGGGTAAGGGTTAGGGTTAGATCATAGATCGTCAATTCCACGATACAGCAGAGCAGCTTATGCTGTCGTTTCTGTCTGCTTAGTATATATTGAAAAAGCTGAAGACGTGTAGTTCTTTTGCATGAACATGAAGGCAACCACATAAGGTTTTAATGTAGTATTTCTTGAGTTCTCTAACAAACAGACAGTGTGACATGTAACATTCTATTAGCTTTTAGTAAGGCATACCTTTATGTCAGTAGTACATACACAACTAAAAATAGTGTATAATATACATGAGACTGCCTTGAACTATACAATAAAATGCTTTTTTCTGATAAAGATAATGAATGCTTGGGTGTTAATATTTTGCCTCACATCACTGGAAATTGTGTCTCCGAGCTTATCAGCTCCGGCGGGTGCTAACAAAACGGAGACAACTACTTGAAATCTTACTGAAAGCACTGCCCTGGCCCAAGGTCAAAGACCTATCCATTTTACAGTGTTTTTAACAGGAAAGGCTTTCCTTTCATATACGTGTAGCTTCTGGCCTGAAACCCCTTTCACAAACCTAATGTGGCCCACTATATCTTATTTCTCGGATAAATAATCAAAATTATTAATGTTTGAAATCCCTGTCCTGTTTTAACAGGACAGGGATGTGTTACATTAAAAAATTTATTATAAGACTTAAAAGTCTTATAATACCTCCAGCCTGAAAAAAAGTGCACCTTTAGTCAATTGTAGGAAGTCCCCCAGCTTGGTGCAATAAAATAATAAGGATACTACATATTGTAGTGCATGCAAGTAAAATAACAATAATTTTCTTTCTTGGAAACAAAAATCACGGTGTTTTATTCCTATATACCTTGGTAATTGTTTGTGCTAGTCTCACTAGCAATGCAGCAATATTCAAACGGATTTTGCAGATATGTCTTTGCTAATAGATTTTTGCAACGATTACAGAACATACTTATGTTGACAAGTATCAAACATTCTCTTCTCCGTAATTCAAGCTTTGATGTCAATTTGTTTAAATCTTCCATTTCTTGGAGCAAAAAAAAAAATCTACATCACCAGCCACCCTGTGTAATGGTGTGGTAATGGCTTTTAACACAGGCAAATGGTTTACTCCAATGCTCGTTTAATTCACGCTCTGACTACTGTACAGAATCGATTACTTAGCTCGCCTCGTGCACTAACGTCCGGGTCCTACCGTATGTCCATATTAGGTAACGACACTACACCCTGCGTCCGGCTTTTTTACACAATTGGACAGCATATCTTTCCCGCAAACAAATAGATCTACACAGTCTCTTGGACTTAATTTGTTCATCCATCACTAAAATATTGCAGTGTATATTTACTCAATCGTACATGTAGATTGTCTTGCATATCATCCGTGAAGAAATTTTCACTCTGGTCGAACTGCATGGAATATAAAAGAAATGTAGTGTGAACGACAACAAAACTAAAAGATAAGGCAATTCGAAATTTTTTTCCCCTTGGTGTTTAAAAACAAGCTTACAAATTTCGAGCTTGCGATACTAACACAGGCAGAATTTCAATGTGTGCGTACAAAATAAAACAATAAAGAAACAATGAAATCAAAACCTAACAAGAAGTTATGCTTACTTTGGACTCCACAACGAGAGAAAGCGAGTGGAAACCATCAAATTCCCTTACCAAGAAAAAAAGGTACGAGCTTAACTTCCCCGATATGTTAATCACGATCTCACTTTCTGGCTTTGTCTTCCCGGGTGTCATGTATCAATTCTTTGACCTCGCCGACCGTGCTGTTGTGAACGATGCATGAACACAGTCATAAATACCTCTACCAGCTTTCCTCTAGGTGTGAGGAAAGAAAATCACATGAAACCAAAATGGCCGACCTCAATCTTCGAGGTGTTCGACAAACTCGTACCCAGGCCTTCGATTTATCGGGCAAAAATGTACGCCTTTCTAGTCCCCACTCGTCAAAGAACCTTTCCCGAAGTCGACGGAACACTCTTGGACAAAAACAACACTTAGCAGGGGAGGCAGGAGAAAATTGTTTAATCCAGGTTTAATGAATAAATTAATTAGAATGGAGTGAGTGAGTGAGCGCCATCCGACTGCCCTAAGCTCATGGATGTTACTTCATCCATGAGCAAAAAGGACGTAAAATATCTCTGTAAAATAGCTCAAGAATGTAGGAAAGTGCAAAAGTGCAAATCAAGCATAAAGTTGAATCTAACAGGCGAGCTTAAATGAAGTGTAAGCCTACTCATGCAGAGACACAAAGTACATGTAGTCTCATTTGCTAGTATGCACACAATTAAACTTCGTCCAGTCATGACGTAACTTATACCCTTTGGGCTGGCGGGGGCGTAAAACAGTACACCCAGACTGTTTTCAAACCTTTGTAACTTAGTCCTATTTAGCCTGGGGTCCGCGCTGATTTCAATCTTTTATCACAAAAACAGCGTTGACGCTCTAGCAGTGAAACGTCCGTCAAGATAATGGACATCTTGACTTTTGTGACGTCATGTGTGGCGTTCTGTGACGTCATGATTAACACATGGTAACCAATACATTACAGAAGTTCAGATGCTTTACAAGCACTAAGTGTGATTATCATTTAGTGTATACATACTTTTGTAACTGGAGATATTTAGGTGGGGCAGTTTTGTCCCTCCCAGGCTCACGAATTAAAAATGTTTGGTCATTAAATTAACTTTTTTATTGCAAGCAATAATGCAAAGGGTGTCTGACCGAAATTTTGTGTTTTTTTTTTTAAAGCGAAAATTTATGATTTTATTGCGAATTAGGATTACACGAAGACTCTTTTTCCAATTTCTTTATATTTTTGTTACATTTACTTTTCTATTGTTCTAAATCGATCTTTGAGGACAAAAAGAGACCCCCAGGGCTAACCAAAGGAAAAAAAAAGATACATTTCATAGTTTCATTTTATCTCTCTTCATGTCCTCTCCCTGCCGTAAAGATAAGTTTTTGATTCTATTGATTATTTCAGCATTTGTACTGATCGTAGTCTTAATAGATCCGACGCTCCTCACTGGTTTGATGCCCTGGTTTTGCTGCAATTAAAAAAAAAAACGCCAAGCTAAGATAAACTTTGTTTATATAAACGAAAAAGCTGACCAAAACTTGGCCCGGAACATAGAAAATACAAATACAAATACTTTATTAGAGTATAAAATTACAGAACACATGTTACCAAAAAGCAATTGATATTGAAACTATAACCATAACTGTTAAAAGTACTCATGGC